TGGAATTGAGAGGGCTTAGGGAAGGCTACCTGTGGAAGGTGAGATTTTAAAGGAAGCCAGGGAGTTCAGTAGTCAGGGGAGGGGAGGGAGGAACAGCAAATAATTCACAGTATCACTGGACAAAAGTGCATGAAAAGGAGTTAAGTGCAAGATTGGAGAGGTAGAAAGAAGCTAGCTTGTGGAGAAAAGCTGTTGCATTTATTGTGAGATGAGAACAGTGTTATCAATAGTTTTTGCTTGACTGTTTTTCTTTGTTACTAAGGGGAAGGTTCAGTATAGGACAAGTAGTGAGTGGGACAGAATATGCTCAAATGGCTATGATTTAAAAATAATACAACTCATTGAAAATGATGCAGAAGAGGCATGAAGGATGGAGATTGGAAAAGGAAGATGGACTGGTCATGTTGATTGAAGTTAAAGATCTGTGAAAAGCCTGTATTACTGCCCTGATGTCCAGGCAAGGTTGAGATCTGTAGAAAGGCTCTCAGCTCTTTGTTGGGGGGACACCTGGGAAGGATTTGCAAGGGGATAGACAAGACGTTGGACAGGATGAGAAGATATAGAAAGGTTGCTATCTGGACTTATGCAGGGGCCCAGGTCAAACTTCCCAGCCTGGAGCCTAGGCCAGGAAGGATTTCTCTCTAAGACCCCTGCACAGAGGCACAGATCCTGGCTAATTCTCCAGACTGGCTAAACTCCAGGTAGCCCCCAGAACTGAAGTTCCACACATGTGCATATGGTCCCTGGCCCTCAGTGTGTGTGGGGTCCTAGGTACACTTAGCTTAGGTATTTCCACCCCAGTTTCTAGAAATGGCTCAGATATCCTAAACCTGGCCATCCTTGGACAGGTGAATACACTCACTCTTCTGACTGGAATGTTGGAGGTTTCTCTCCTAGCTTCCCTAAGTTTCCCATCCAAAAGAAGCACAGACGATAAGGTAGCATTATGAATCTGGAGGCTAGCATAAGCTCTTGGAAAAAAGCGAGACTCTTGAAAGAGGGAAGGGGAATTATATTACTATCCCTGATCTACTGTGATTCATTATGTTGTCTTTGTATTTTCTGTGGGGTAGAATAAAGGCTCTCCTATGCCCAGTATATACATTGCTACATTGAGTGTTTGTACAGGAAGAAAGGACCCTTCCTCCACACTGAAAGAGACCTAGTCAAAATTGGGAAAATCAAGTTGATTCCATTTTGCTATTGATTTCATTTTGTATTACTGCCAACATTTTTGTGACTGCCTAAGTCATGTTTCATTTGTTTCAGAGTTAAGTTGGGAGATTCAGCTTTCCTGTAATCACTCATTGACTCCGACTTAAGTTTAGAAGTTCAGTTGTCTTGCTAATTACTGTTCTATTCTTGCCTCAAGGAAATCTGTTATCCTTGAAAGGTGCAGGTGAATACTTGGGAGTCTGATCTGTTATCCAAAGTAGTCTGGTCCATTATCGCTAAACTGTCCTTGCAGGTGGACTCATATAACGAAGGCTTCTTAATTCCAGTGCTTTCTCTCTTAATTATTTCCTATTTTTCCTGTGTATACCTTTTTTGTATATATTTGTTTGCATGCTGTTTCCCTTGTTAGATTGTAAGCTCCTTGAGGGCAGAGACTACCTTTTGCCTCTTTTTGTATCCTCAGCACTTAGTACGGTGCCTGGCACATTGTAAGTGCTTAATAAATATTCATTTAATTGAACTTATTGAAGACAGGGGTCATTCCTAGCCCCTGATTTCCAATTTCCAGTCAATTTTGTTCTTCATACCTGTGATTGCTACAAGCTTTGTAATCAATCATACTGTTTCCCCCATCTATGATGCTGCTTTCTATTCTGGATGCCCCTCCTTTTATCTATAAAAGAAAGCTGTCCCCATCTTCAGGGGTCCTTTTGGCTTGCTGGGAAACTGAGAGACCCCTTTTACTGGTAATTGCTAGCCTTTGTGTCTCAGCTTACCTTTATTTCAATCATAACACTAGACATGAGCTATATTTCAGCTATATTCTGAAATTTCCCAGAGGTCTTTCTGAGTGAGGGGCAGCGTGAGCCAGAGGAATGACTTTTGGAGAGGCCTCAAGATTGAACGCAGTCCACAATTGTTCAGAGCCTGAGGAGGTGGACCACAGATTACAGGTGGAGCAACTGAGGCTAAATAGTAGTACAATCTTAGGAACCACATGGCACACCAACAGAGAACAGATGTCCATGGCTTTGTTGGAGTAGGCACACTTATGCCAGGTATGTGTAAGGAGAACAAGTTATTCTTCCAGGGAGGTAGTGTGGGGAAATTGTGTTTGTCTTTATGTCTTTCTGACTGTCTTCTTGGAGGGCTTGGTGCCATCCCTGCTTGTCAAAGGATTAGTGTTCAGATACACACTGAGTCTGATGAGAAGTCTTCTAAAGGACAATCTAAACCGTAATTCTGATAGGGTGAGAGGTGTGCTAGAGCCAGATTAATGGCTTCAGAGAGCTGATTGTTAAATTTTCATTATGAGCATTTTCACCTTCAAATTCATCAAATGTTACAAATCAGGGCTTGATTTATTGTTTTGTTGATTGTAGAGGCTTAAGAAAGTGATGGAAAATGTGTTAATAATGCAAGTTAATCTTAGAAGTGTATCATGCATATATTCTCTCCCCCTCTCCCTAAAGTTGGTGGTTAAACATTTAACATCACAGCCCTGGATAATGGTGCTTAATCTGTGACTTCACCTTTTACTCTAAGGGTGTACCTGAGAGCTCAGATATATTAGTGAGTAGGATTTGGATCAGGCCTGATAGTGAGTATGGCAACCCTAGCAGGGAGAATTCTGAGGTGAGATGGGAATGTGCATGATGTATGCAAGGGGAGAGTGGAAGGTGGAGGACAGACATGCATTTTGAGAAGGACACCGATAAAACTGGAGAATATCCAGAGGAGGGCCACCAGGTTGGCTGGCATGGAACCTTCAGATCATGCCATATGAAAATCATGATAGAACTGAGCATGGTTAGCCTGGAGAAGAGTAGGCTTTTGCAGGTGGAGCATGGATCATCTTCAGATATTTGAAGGCCTGCCATCTGGAAGATGGATTAGACTTGTTGTAGGCATCTAGGTGGTGCAGTGGATAGAATGTTGGGCCTGGATTCAGGAAGCCCTGAATTCAAATGTGACTTCAGACACTTACCAGTTGTGTGATCTTGAGCTAGTCATTTAACCTTTGCTTTAGCTGTAGAATGAGGATAAAAATAGCACCTACCTCCCAGGGTTGTGAGAATCAAATGAAATATTTGTAAAGTGCTTTAGCACAATGCCCAGCACGTAGTAGGTGCTTAGTGAGTATTTGCTTTTTCCCCTGCACCCCAGTTCTTGCCCCAGAGATTGGAACCTGGAGCAACGGGTGATAAATTTAGGTTTGCTGACAAGGTAACAATTCCTAAAAGTCAGAGCTACTTGTAAGTGAAGCGGGATGCCTGAAGAAGACAGTGGATTCCTCCTTACCAGAGCTCTTTTTTTTTTCATGAGGCAATCGAGGTTAAGTGACTTGCCCCAGGGTCACACAGCTAGTAAGTTTCAAGTGTCTGAGGCCGGATTTGAACTCAGTTCCTCCTGACTCTAAGGCAAGAGCTCCATCTATTGTGCCACCTAGCTGCCCCTACCAGAGCTCTTTAAGCAAAGGCTGAATGACCATTTGTTGGGTATGCTATCATGAGGATTCTTTTTTTGGGGGGGGGGAATCTAGGTTGGGATTACAGGGTAAGCAAGGTCCCTTCCTACTCTAAAATTCTGTGATTCTGTTATCTAAGCAGGCTCCTGTGCGAAAAGAGGTTTTCTGTTGGAAAGAAATGGAAATAAGGTGGGCTGGGTACATGGGTGGGGTCAGACCTAGGACTGTGAGCCAGAAAGGACTTTAGTGATCAGCTGCTGTAGCCATCCATCTCTTTTACACAGGGGGAGCAGGAGACCTGGAGAAATGATTGTCCAGGGTGATATTAGTGAATGCAAGAGCTGATATCTAAGCCTCTCTCTCTCTCTGTCTTTCTCTTTGTGTGGTGGGGAGGGTTGGGAAGCTGGTGTACCTAGGATGGTATGGTGAAAAAAACATCAAGTTTGGAATGAGAGGCCATTACTAGGAAGCAGCCATTTTGGCTCTGTCAATCTTGCCTGTGCCACTTATAAAAAATTGTGTGGTCTTGGGCATGTCACTAAGCCTTAGCCCCAGCCTTAATCCCATTTGCCCAGAGGAGGGTGGAGCCCTCTAGACTGATGTGAGACCCTAGTGGTTGTTCTCTAGTTCTTCCTACCTACATCCCACCAAGATCCCCCTTTCCCAGTAATGTGCCCTAAGGACCTCTGAGCCTTTTCATCTTTTCTGCAGCTGATCTCCCCTATATGTATCTCCCTCACTTAGAATGTAAACTCATTGAGGTTAGCTAGACTGTCTTGCTTGGCTTTCTGTTTGTATTTTTAGCCCCTCTTTTGTTGTTCAATTGTGTCTGACTCTTTATGAACCCATTTGGGTTTTTTCATAAAGATACTGGGGTTTGCCATTTCCTTCTCCAGTTCATTTTCCAGATGAGAAACTGAGGCAGACAGGTTTAAGTGACTTGCCCAGGGTCACACAGCTAGGAAGTGTCTTGAGGGCAGATTTGAACCCACAAAGATGAGTCTTCCTGACCCAGGCTTGGTGTTCTATCCGCTGCACCACCTGGCTGCCCTTTCAGATCTTGGTATAGTGCTTATACATAGTGAACGTTTGATAACTGCTTTCCCCCTTTTCCATTTTCTTCTTCTGTAGAACAAATGGCCCTTTGAAGTCCCTCCTAGCTTTAGGTTTGTGATCCTGACTCCCAATTCAGAGGTCTTTCCATTCCACCCTCCTGTCTCTAAGTTCTCCAGGCTTCAGTTGGGGATGACGCGGTTGTCTCTGTCATCTGCCAGGTCCGTGGTTTGGTCCTTGTCCTGTGGGAGGGTATGCTGGGTCTCTCTAGTGACTGTTGCCTTTTTCCCCTCCATGTCTTTAGAAACCATCTCCAGATCAGCGTGTGTATAGCAGCAGTCTCTGGGGCCCAACCTGTGATGACTTGGACCGGGTGGCTGAGGGCTCTGGCTGCCAGAGCTGCAGCCAGGTGATTGGCTCATCTTTGAGAACATGGGAGCCTACACTGTGAGCATGACAGCCTCCTGCAGTGGGCGCCAAACCTGCCAGACTACTTATGCCATGTCTAGAGTCACCTGGTAAGGGGCCTGGGGCTTGGGGCTGGAGCGGAGAGGCAGCTGGTGCACAAATGGCCCTATCAATAACTAATTCAGTGTATTGTCTTTGGACAAGTGCCTCCGGACAGAATAATAGAATCTCAACATCCAGAGGGACATTAGAGAGCATCTAGTCCAACCTGTACCAGGAAGCCCCTCAGGAAGCATCCTTGACAAAGGATAGAAGACCTCCAGTGAGCAGGAACCCATTCAGCATTTGGACAGCTCTGTGGGGATGTTATTCCTCTGAAGGGAGTTAGCCATTTTTCCCTATGATGGCTCTCCAAAGCTTTCTCTTCTCCAGGAGAAGCCTTCTTAGAACCCATGCTTCTCCCACTTGTCATAGCCTTCCTAAAAGATTCCCAGAGACCACCCCAAATGTGGTCTGACCAGGGCAGAGTCTCATTTCCCTCTTTTGGGATGCTGTGCCTCACCCTATTGGGCCAGCCAGGTGGTAAAGTGGATAAATGCCAGGCCTGGGGTCAGAAAGACTCATCTTCACAGTGGCTAGAGTGTGGGGCAGGGAGTCAGGAAGACCTAAGTTGAAATTCAGCTTTAGACACTTACTAGGTGTGTGACCCTGGGCAAGTTACTTAACCCTGTTTGCCTCAGTTTCCTCATCTGTAAAATGAGCTGGAGAAGAAAATGGTGAGCCATTCTATCAATCTTCCCCTCCCCTTGGATTACGTATCTGTTCCCAGAAGTAAATATTCCATTTTCTGCTCTGTGCCTTCTCTCCTACGCTCTCTTCCATTTCTGGAATATGCTCCCACCTCATCCACAGAGGTGTCAAACACTGGGCTGAACCAGATTAAAATGTAATTGAGAAATAGTTAACAAAATCAATAAATATGCAACAAAACAGAGATACTGTTAATATGTGGTTTTCTAAGTCAATATATGCCCAAAGGGATCTTAATGGACCGTTCAGTGGCCCCACTTTCTATTCAAGTTTGACCTCACTGTTCTAAGGCTTAGCTCAGATGAAAGCTCTTTCCATAAAGCCTCCCCCAGTTTGTAATGCTCTTTTGCTTCTCAGATTACTTATCTGTGAACATACTATGCTTAGGATCATAGGATTCCAGGTCCCAGAGCTGAAAGTGTCCTTAGAGTCCATCTATCCCAACCCCCACAGTCTAGACCTGAGGACACTAGGGCTCAGAGGAGGGAGGAAGTGACTCACCCAAGGTCACACAGTCAGCAGAGCCAGCACAGTAGAAGGTACTGGAGGGCAAGGCCTGTCTTTTACTTTTCTTTATATGTCTAGCACTTAGCACAGTGCCTACAGTTGGAGCCTAATACATGTCATTGACTGACTGGGTGTGGGGCTCTGGGTAAAAAGCCCCAGCTTGGTACTGACCACATTGAGGTGGAGAACAGCAGTCAGTCAATGAGCACTTATTAAGTGTTCACTATGTGTCAGGTACTGTGTCAAACTCTGGGCATAACCCATAGGATGTGGCAGAGTGGAAAGAGGGCTGGATTTGGAGTCAGAGCGAACTGACTTTGAATCCCGGCTCTGCTTACCTATTATTTGTGTGACCTTGGGCAAGTCACTTTCCCTCTGGGACTCAGTTGCTTCACTGCTGGGATGAGAGGATTAGAATAGATGGACTCTTATGAACCCTTCCAGCTCTGAATCTGCAATGCTCAAATGATGTCTATGATCCCTTCCTGTTCTTAATGACTTAGGGACGGGGTAGGTGTCACAGTGTAGAGAGTACTGGAATTAGAGTGAGGAAGACCTGAGTTCAAATCTTGCCTCAGGGCAAGTTACTTGACCTTTCTCAGACTCAGTTTCCTCATCTGTAAAACCCAGACAATAAGAGTACTTACCTCACAGAGTTGTCGGATCCAATGGTGATAATATTTGTAAAGCATTCTGTTCTGTTGTTGTTCACCTCTGTTCTTGAAGAGGAGCATGGAATCAGGGAGGTGGTGCCATGACATTGTGAGGGATTTAAGTGGATTTAAGTGAGGGAGGGCTATGCAAAGTTCACCAGCTTCACTTTTTCCTTTGGAGCCATCTTGGTCTAGTGATGAGATACAGATCAGGACGCCTGGAGATGGCCCTGGATACAGTGGGAGGCCTTGGCTTTTTTAAGCTAAGGTCTTTCCCAGGTCTCAGTTTGACAGAGGAAGCACTTCATGAGTTCAAATCTGGCCTCTGACACTTACCAGCTGTATAACAGCTTAACCCTGTTTGGCTCAGTTTCCTCATCTGTAAAATGAGCCGGAGAAGGAAATGACAAACCCTCCAGTATCTTTGCCAAGAAAACCCCAAATGGGGTCATGAAGAGTCAGACATGACCAAAAAAGAACTGAACTGAATATGTTCAGTGCTGCAAGTGTTCTGTAAGCCTTAAAGAGATCTCTAAATGCTAGTTATTGTTGTGATTACTGAGCTTCTCTCACCCACAGGGAAGCAGTGCGAGGCAGGCTTTTGCCTTCAGAAGAGGACGCAGAGGACATGTGTAAACCCCTGTCCTGCGGCTGGGAGATTGCAGACACTCTGTGTGTGGGCCCTGTCTTTGCTCCTACCAGCATCATCTGAGCTGCCCTCCAGTCTTCCCTCTGTCTCTTCTTGGCCCTGCTCCCCTACCTGAGAATGGGCTGGTAGGGGGGTGGCTGCGGAAGCGGATGGATGCCTTCCAGGGAGGTGGGGGGAGGAGGTGGGGAACCTCTCTGAGGAGGCAAGGACTCTTGTGACCTCTGGGCCCTGTCCCCCCGAACCCCATCTCTAGTGTTTCTGCCCTGTAAGTAGACCCAGTCTTACAATCGCTGTAGTTAAAGTATGCAACATAAATCCTGTCCCTTCCAATGGTGTCTGTGTCCTCTCCAGTGCCAGTAAGTTCTGTCTACCTTCCTGGTCTGTCTTCTGTCTGTCCTTTCCCTCCCCTCCCCCAGCTTCTGCTGCTGGCTCCCACTTATCCTCTTCTCTGTAAATACATACTAATAAATATTTAGGTTTTAATATCTTGAGCAGAGTTGTGTCTGCCACTGTCTGGGGGTAAGTGGGCTAGTCCCTGCATGGCCTTAGGCCAAGGCGGGATCTGAGTTTGATGGGGAACTCTATCTCTTCTCTGCCCCAGTCTTCACTCTAGCCCAAAGCAGGCCTACCTTGATTAGACAGACACTGCTTGGGTGGTAGGATGGAAAGATTTGGAGTGAAAGGGACTGCTGCATGTGTGATCTTGGAGAAATTACTTTCCTTCTCTGATCCTCAGTTTCCTCATCTGTAAAATATGAGTATTAGCCTAAATAAATATCTCTTTCCTATCTCCTCTTCTCTTCATGATTCCACAACCAAGGTGCATTGATTAAAAAAAGATTAATTTCTCATGATTAAAGAATTGTATGCAATTATGCCTTTGTAAATGACCTCAATTGAACTGGGATGAGGGGAGGGTTTTTTCTGCTTGCCATGGGATCTGAGTGGACAAATCCACGTGCCAGACCTTTAGCCTTACAACCCACAAAAAAGGGCAGAGATAAGGGAAGAAAGGCAGCCAGCTCCCTGAGAGTCCAAGAGTGTTCCGTGGCTGCTGAGAGTCCCCTCTGATGTCAAGTGGCATGTCTTAACTGGGAAGAATGTATACTGGTTGAAAGCACCTAGTTTTTACTACTGAGTATGATCAGGCTGGGCAGCTAGATGGCACACTGAGCCTGCAATCAGGGAGACCTGAGGTCAAATATGGACTCAGACGTTAGCTATGTGACCCTAGGTAAGTCACTTTAACCCTGTTTGCCTCAGTTTTCCTCATCTGTAAAATGAGCTGGAGAAGATGATGGCAAACCACTCCAGTATCATTCCCAAGAAAACCCCAAATGGAGTCACTAAGACTTGGGCACAACTGAAAATGACTGAACAACATGATCAGGCCATTGTCTATAGCATCCCCTGGTGGTAACTCATGCATGGTAGACCCTCTCTATTCCTCTCTCCTCCTATCACACAGACATTAGACTGTGCCAAGGACATTGGACTGTGCCAAGTTTGGTAGTGAGAACTTTCTTTTTTGGCTCTTCAGGAACTGTGACTGCAGCATCTCCAGAAGCAGTTGCCAGGTTGCACCTTTTTTCTGAACAGAGGATGCATGTACACTCCTGGCATATTTGTCTTCCCCTCATCCCCCATGGCACCATCCTATGATGCGGATACCCCTGGAAGGGAAACCTACTTTGGGTTGCTAGATATGAACATACCAGGAGATGTGATTCAAAGTCCCAGGTGACACCCTATAAGCTTGTTATATAGGTAGGTAACTCTGGATAAACTCATATTAATTTGAGTTTTCAAAAATATGAACAGCCATAAGTACAGGATGGATGAGATGTGGCTACATGATGTTTTGTGCTGAGAAGACATGAAATGTCTATGTGAAGACTAATCCAAGTCAACAGCAGACTCAGCAGTCGGAAAAAAAAGAGAGAGAAGGAACAGGCATTTATTAAGCACCTCTTATGTGCCAGGCACAGTGCTATGTTTGACAAATATCTCATTTGATCTTCAAAGCTAATGTATCATTACTCTGCATTAATGGATGCAAAATGTTCTTAAGGGCTCTATCCAATGTGACCATGGGTAGATTTTAGGGAGCCTGTGAACTTGGATGGGAAAACAATTACATTTTTATTTTCACTAAACCTTGATTTCCTTTGTAACACTGGATTTTATTCATTTAAAAGCTTTCTTCTGAGGAGGAAGGAGTCAGCAGACTTCAGCAGACAACCAAAGGGGTCCATGACACAAAAATGGTTATGAGTCCTTCAGAGAGATGGTGGAATCATTGACTTCTGCCCTGGTTAGATCACATCTGGGATGTTGTATCCAGGTCTAGATGCCACATTATGGGAAAAACAAGGAGAAACTGTGGTGCATCCAGTGGAAGGCAATTAGGGTGGAGATGGGCCTAGAGACAGCACCATGTGGTGACTGAAGGAGACTGGGGTGGTTGGTTTCAGAAGAGGAGCAGCTAGGTGGCACAGTGGACAGAGGTGGGCCTGAACTCAGGAAGACTCACCTTTGTGATTTCAAATCCAGCCTTGGATATTTACTGGCTATATGACCCTGGACTAATCACTTAATCCTGTTTGCCTCAGTTTCTCTATCTGTAAAATGAGTTGGAGAAGGAAATGGAAAACCACACCAGCGTCTCTGTCAAGAAAACCCCAAATGGGGTCACGGAGAGTTGGACGTGACTGAAAAACAGCTTAACAAGTTTCAGAAGAAAAGACTTTGGGGTGGGGGACATCAGCTCCATTTTCTAGTATTTGAAAGGCTTTCACTTGGAAGTGTTGTTAGACTAGCTCTACTTGGCTCCAGAGGGTGGAACCAGAAATGGGGTAGAAGCTTGAAAGAAGTGGATTTATTTAAGCTCGATGTCCAGAAAGCTTCCTAGCAATGAGAGCTGTCCTAAAGTGAAATGGGCTGGCTTAGGAGGTGAGGTGGTCCTCAAGCAAAGTCTGGATGCCCACTTATTAGGGATGTTGTGGAAGGCCTGTCTAGTCAGATGTGGGTTGGACTAGTTGTCCCCCAAGGTCCTTTTTGGCTTTACTGATTCAAGGTGTCAAGTTTCCACATCTTAGATCTATGACTATTTTCTAGTGGCCCTTACCCAGACCAAGCTGCCTCATTCTGACCCATGACCAGTCAAACCTAGCTCAACCTCAGCTGAGTTCATCCTTGTACAAACCAGCCTTGTCCAGGGTAGCTCAATACCCTCAACTCCTTGTCAGAATTTCAAGTCTTGGTAAAATCCAATTTTAAACCTATGTGGTCTTTTTTAAATATTTTTTTCATTAGATATTCCCCAATTACATGTAAAAATATTTTTAATGCTGATCTTTAAAAATTTTGAGTTCCACATTCTCTCCCTCCCTTTGGCCTCTCTCCCCTCTTTGAGAAGGCAAACAATTTGATATTGATTATACAAGTGAAGTCATACAAAACATTTCCATATTAGCCATGTTCCACAAGAGAACACAAACTAAAACAATAAAATAAAGTAAAAAATTATGCTTCACTCTACATTCAAAGTTCTTTCATCATGGGTCCTTTGGAATTGTCTTGGATCATTGTCTTGATCAGAGTAGCTAAGTCTTTCACAGTTGATCATCCTTACTATATGCTGTTACTGCGTACAATGTTCTCCTGGTTCTGCTCACTCCACTTTACATGAGTTCCTATAAGTCTTCCCAGGTTTTTCTGAAACCATCCTGCTCATCATTTTTTATAGCACGATAGTATTCTATCACAAATATATACCACAATTTGTTTAGCCATTCTCCAATTGATGGACATCCCCTTGATTTCTAATTTTTTGCTCACACAAAAGAGTTGCTATAAATATTTTCGTATCAGTATGTCCTTTACCCTTTTCTTTGATCTCTTTGGGATACAGATCTAAGTAGTGGTATTTCAGGGTCACAGTTTTATTGCCCTTTGGGCATAGTCCCAAATTGTTTTCCAGAATGGTTTGACTAGTTCACAACTCTGCCAACAGTAATTAGTGTTCTAATTTTTCCACATCCCATCCTACATTTGTCATTTTCCTTTTGTGTTATATGCTATCCAATCTGATAGGTGTGAGATAGTATCTCAGAGTTGTTTTTATTTGCATTTCTTTGATCAGGAGTGTTTTAGAGCATTTTTTTCATGTGGTTTTTGATAGCTTTGATTTTTTTCTTTTGAAAACTTCCCATTGTCAACTTAGGAATGGCTCTTATTTTTACAAATTTGGTTTAGTTCCCTATATATTTGAGAAAGGAAGCTTTTATTGGAGAAATTTACTGTGAAAAATTTCCCCCTAGTTTCCTGTTTTCTTTCTAACTTTGGCTGCATTAGCTTTATTTGTACAAACCTTTTTTTAAATTTTGTGTAATCAAAATCATCTATTTTAATTCCTATACTCCTCTCTCTTTCTCTCTCATTTGGTCATAAACTCTTCCCTTATCCATCAATTTGACAGGTACACTTTTCCATGTTTTTCTAATTTACTCATGATATTACCCTTTATGTTTAAATCATTTATCCATTTTATCCTTACTATACAGTGGGAGATATTGGTCTATGCCTAGTTTCTGTCAAACTGCTTTCCAGTTTTCTTAGCAATTTTTGTCAAAACGTGAGTTCCTATCCCAAAATCTTGCATCTGTGGGTTTAACAAACACTAGATAATAATGGTCACTTTTTACTGTCTATTGTGTACCTAATCTATTCCACTGATGCACCACTCTATTTCTTAGCCAGTATCAGATTGTTTTGATGATTGATGCTCTGTAAATAATATAGTTTGAAATCTGGAACGGCTAGGCCACCTTCTTTCACACTTTTAAAAATTATATTCCCTTTTGAACTTCCTTCTGTCTTTTAAAAAATACCCCAATGATCCTTTTTCTTTTCTTTTCCTTTTTTGTCAACACTGGTTTTAGCTCTCCTCTGTTCCCTAAATCCCCACTCCCAGGAAAAAAAGGAAAACATAACTCTTAGAATGAATAATCCTGGTTAAGCAAAATAAATCCACACATTTTCCACGTCCCAAAATATGCATCCTGAACCCATCCCTCCTCTTTCAAAAGGTGGGTACCATGTTTCATAATCAGTCCTTGGGAATTGTGATTGGTCATTGCATTGATCTGAGTTCTTAAGTCTTTCAAAGTTTTTTTTTTAAATGTTATTGTTGTTACCATATAAATTGTTCTCCTAACTTTGCTCACTTCACTCTACATCATGTCATGAATGAAATCTGTGATAAAGAGAAACTGAGACACAAAGTTCTGAGCATGATCGGTTTGTTAGCAAGGCTAGCAACTACCAATAAATGGAATCTAAGATGCCTTAGTAACCAGGGACCCCTCTGACAGGCAGAACGACTCTTTTATGCAGTTGGTTTCATAAGGTGCAAAATATAGTCCACTGATGCCAACTAAATTAAAACTGTGATTAGTCTAACATGAAGATGGAGGATGGACTTACACGTGGCTTGATTCAGAGGGGGGATTTAAATAACCTAGGACAACAGGGAAAAACACAGAGTTGACTCACATCCCCTGGAAAGTCTCCTGGTGGGCAAACATCCTATGACTGGGTTGGTTCACATCTCCGCCCTTGTCTGCAAAAGCTCACAGATTCAAGTCTTTGTGGTCAGGCTGTAGCCTATAGGAGTAGAGAAGTTACTTCTTTTTAGTTGGTATAGAGGAAAGGTGTTCCTCTTCTCTCCTTTCCTTTCCTCCTTTCTGCCTCTACTTCACAATGGTGTTAGAGACAAAAAAGCAGTTAAGCAAAGCATACCTTCATGGGACTTTGACCTAAATGGTGATTTCAGGGTATGATGTCTCTACTAGCCACTAGGTGGTGCTCTAAG